TGTTGGGTAGTATGGAGATTCAAATCCAAAGCTTTTTGTTTTCTTTGACACTGATTGAGTGATTGATGGGTTCTTACTAATTAAAAACTTAATGATATGAGGACATTCCTTAGTTAAATTAGTCACAATAAAATTACAAATTCAATTATCAGTATGAAAAATTTATTGTTCGCAATTTGATCGACTTGTTAATTTTTTTTTTAAAAAACAATTAATGATATAGTGAAAGCACTACACATTTATTATTCTATATATTTAATTTGTCCTCATTTGGCATAACAGTTTTTGGCTTAATTAATAAGGTCGGCTAGGGGCAATTAGATAAATATGTTAGAAATATTAGCATGTCAGAAGTATTTGTCATGCCTATATTTATGAGGATAAATATCTTATAGATTTTTTTTTTAAATTAAGATATTAATTACGATGGATTATAAGAATTAATCAAGTCATGTATCATATAACCGCAGATATAAATAACTTGCCATCTTAATAAAAAAAAATAAAATAAATCTTGCCATCTTTATTAGGTAAAATCTTCCAAACATACTCATCTTCTGGTCCGTAGTTTAAGAGTACGTAACCATGGAAACATGGAGTGACTTAGGATGCAGTATTAAGTGAGAAATTCTTTAATTTTTTTTTTTTTTAGAGAAATGAAAATTTAGAAAAATAAATTTAAAGACCCTTATATATTTCTTTAAATTGGGAATAAAAATGAAATGTTGGAAAATTGAAATAAACACAATTTAAAAAGTTTACCTTTACTTTTCTCAAAAGATTGAATTTTCAATCCTAAGAACTCCACGTCCCGACCCGACAGAGTATGTGGGATAATGTAAATCACGATAACTCATATGCCCTTTTGTTGTGCAGAGGTATGGAGATGGTCCAGAAAATGAACTGTCACTTGAAGTTAATGGAGACTACACTAGAAAAATTGGGTATCTTAAATTTTCAGAATATTCCACAAAGGTGTCAAGCTGCAAGAAACATGAGAATCTCCTCAACAATGTTTGGTACCAGCCTGAAGAAGTCTTCCCTGTCACTGGCACCCCAGAGGAGAGGGAACACATTTTCTGGGTCCCTGTTGACCAACATTACTACCAAATTGCCAAAAACTTGGAGGTAACGTTTACAATGCCATAGCTAGGCATATAATTTGTTGGTAATTTTTAGTAAAAATGACATTTTAATTGGTTATTTTGTGGTATAAATATATATGAGTTCACTTTTGATTTGCGTAAGGTCCAAGTGGATTCAGATTCTTCATACTGAGACTAAGAAATTGACAAATTGTATCGTTTGTATGCTTAAAACGGACAATGGGTGAATAAAAAATTCATTTTTCAGAGTAGACTGATTTGAGTTGAAAAATAGAGTTGGGAAGGCTTAGAAGTAGCATTGTCTCACATTATAATGGATCAATGGAAAGTGGGTTTGCACTAGCATATATATACAATTTCCTTTTTTTTTTTTTTTTTTTAAACTTCAATTATTGTATGCATAAATGTTCTCTCCGAGGGGCCGGCCTTTGACATCTGCAACCTCTACCTTGGCTCTATTTCTAAGTAGCGTTTCAAAATAAGCTATGACTTTTTTTAACTGTATTTTTTTTAATCTTTATTAATTTACAAAAATAATACCATCTATCAAAATTTCAATATCTTAATTTATCATTTTATGTCTTTTAATTTTATACTTATCAACTAATTCAACAATTAATTTTACAAAATATTTTAATTTTAATTAATTAGCTTATTAGTTAGTTTTTTAGTACAGTTTTTAGCTTTCAATTAGCTTTTTAGCTTAGAGGCATCATCAACTTAACAAATGTATTTACATGGGCATTTTCTTTTCATTGGTTAGGGATTAAAACTAGAAGGTTGCGTGAACTCCACAACATGTTTGGCACATACCCCAAAAGTGACGAGAGTGGCAAGAGGAACAAGTGCTAGCATCTACCTAGACAATGCCGCATATAGGAGCTTCATATACAAAAAGTTCCAAGTCAGCCCTGTGGAAATGGAGAGCGCCGCCGTGGCCCTTATTTGCTACCAGCAAAAGGTGCCTTTTATTGTCATCAGGGCACTCTCCGACTTAGCTGGCGGCGGATCTGCTGAATCTAACGAGGCCGCCACCTTCACCTCGCTTGCCGCCGACAACTCCGTCAAGGTTGTGGTCGAATTTATCAAGTACTTACGAAATTAATGTTAGTCAAGTAGCTTCTAACTCAATCTCACTTCTATAGCTCTCCAAAATAAAAGATCATAGGTCCAAACATTGACTCTTTGTACTTCATTCCTACACTCTGATCCATATAGAAGGTGCTTTGGACTTCTTGAATAATAATATATAAGGAAAAAAAGTCAAATATGCTCTTAAACTTTACTCGAAAGTGTAATTAGACTCATGAACTTAAAAAAAGTGCAACTAAACACTTAAACTTGTCAAATAATGAGTTTAAGTCTGATTTATCGGTAATCAATAGGTTACTGGTAAAATTATACCCGTTGACCACTGTTCATGACCGGTAAAAAAATTTAAATTGCCATAGTGTTCTTCGCTCTTCTCCACCGGAGAAGGCGACTGGCGACGACTGACTGATCGTCTTCTCTGGTGGAGAAGGCGACCAACAGTCTAGTCGTCTTCTCTACTAGAGAAGGCGACCATTATTGGTTGTCTTTCCCGGTGAAGAAGATGACCGATTGTCAATTTTTTTTTTAAAAAAAAAATTAAAGAGTCGTCGAAATTTTTTTTCGTTGGAATTATCTGTCGAATTTTTTTTTCACTGGAATTATCTGTCGAAATTGTTGCCGAAATCTGGATGACTGATTATTTCAGCTGAATTATGGGTTACTGGGTTTAGATGCACTAAAATGTTAAGTTTCCGTGTTTAATTATTACAATAAAAGCCTCACTTTTATGTAGACGTAAAGTGTAAATGTTAGAGACATAGCAAAAAATGTGTGATTTTGACATGATTTGGACAAAAATGTGTTGATTCAAAACCCTAAACAAAAATGTGTAAAGTACTAATGCCATTACCTTCTTTTCAAAACTCTATTTGAAAAGAAGGTAATTGGACTACCTTCTTTTATTTTTATTTTTTGCTTTAACCGCCCACAAAAGAAGGCAATGCAATTGCCTTCTTTTCACTTTCTTAAATTAAAAGTTAAGAAGGCAATAGTATTGTCTTCTTTACTAATATATTAATTATTTAGAGTTGCAAAACACCGTTAATTTGTTTAATATATGTAATTATACTACGATCTTCCAAGAAATGTAATAAAGAATTGATACTGTTTGATAAGCATCTTTCTAAAATTCTATATTTAATTAGAACACAATCCTTGCAATTTTTATTACTTCGAATTTATTTTTTAAAAATTTTATTTTATTAAATATTAAATAATAACATAAAGTTTTCAAAAAAAAAAAAAATCACATAAATAAAGATTTTAAAATTTTAAATAGTCATTTGTAGTACGATGGATTGCATGATAATAATAAAGTATTTTAAAACATATTTATTGTGCATTTATTTATTTTATTATTTGTATTGCGGTGAACTTGATAATTATAAATGTGTAATTATTAGTGCAACTATATTGTAATTTTTCATGACATTCATATTAACAAAGGATCAATGGATTACATAGAGGGCATATCGTCATCAACGACGGTGGTTACCAAAGTTCATTTTATTAGGAAATCGATTTCTACATTGTTGATCTCTATGAGCTTTTCGGAGGGCACTTGAGGGTGGCAGGCACGTGAGTATTGTGGTCAGCTGAACTTCGTCATCCGGCAATGGATTCAAGCCTCCTGCATAACTCATTATGTAATACTGTAATGAGAAGACTTGTGGCACAAAGGGGTCCGAGACAGTCCCTCTATAATGGCATGCGGCAATGACATGAGCACAAGGTAAGCCATCTACAGCCCAATGACCGCAGCTACATGTCTGGTAAGTCAAATTTACCTTAAAATAGCATGGCTGACCCAGAGAACTGGAAGTTGATTCAAGTGCAACCTCGTATATCCCTCTTTTGGTTGTTATAAGAGCAAATGGTTGCATTGTACTTGAACATTCCCGAGCGGACATCTCCTTATCAATATCGGTTTGCCAATGCAATCCAGCTTGTTGCATTAACTCACCAGCAGAACACCTGTTTTGAAACATAGCCACTAATTTGTGGAAAGTCAGTCGGGTGATAGCAGTGACAAGTAACATTCGACGAACCTTTAGGGGCTGTTTGGTTCACGGAATGTTAGATTACTTTAGGGGCTGGGAATGTTAGATTACTTTAGGGGCTGGGAATGTTTTAGATTCCCATGTTTAGTTAAAATTGAGATATGTAACATATGGTTTAGGATTATCTTTGATATACACACACTATAATATCCTTAACATATTTTCATATATTTTAATAAATTTAAAAATTAAAATAAATAAATAAGATAATGGTATCATATATAATTAAATGATTTTAAAATATTAACAAAAATCTTGAACTTGAGAAACAAAATTATTTTATCTACTAACATAACGCAATAAAAATAAAAAATATATAATTACAAAATTATATATATATATACATATATATATATACATATATATATATATATATATATATATATATATATATATATATATATATATATATATATATATATATATATATATATATATATAGAAGGGTTTAGGTTCGGGAATGGTTTTCTGTGCGGTTGTGCGATTGGATGCACCTTAAGCATTAAAATGGCGCATCTTAAGTACACAAATCACCGCGCACCTTAAGCACACAAACAAAGCACATTAACGACACAAATGATCACTCACTTTAAGTACATAAACCACGCACCTTAAGCACAGAACAAATCATCCAAATTTTTTAACTTTCTCAATAAACTTTTTGTCTTTGTTTGAATCACACAAAACTTTTCATTTAGTGTTGCAAAATTTTCCTCTACATTCTTTCTCTTGCTTCACAGAGATGACGACACATGTGGAAGGGAATGGAATTTCTGTAGTCCACTCAGCAGATGCATCTTTCCCGGCGAAGCATAGTTTGAATAAGATGGAGAAGAGAAGTGGGAAACACTACAGTAACCAGCACAGGATTTTGCTAGTGGGCGAAGGGGACTTTTCGTTCTCCGCCAGTTTAGCGGCGGCTTTTGGGTATGCTTCTAACATGATTGCCACTTCCCTTGACTCTGAAAGTAATATTTTTTGATTCGATGATATGGTTATTTACTTGTATTTATATTTATTTTGCAATAGTAGGTGATATATATATGTTGGGCTTATTTCTTTTTTCAGGGGGTTTATGGAATGGTTATGACAGAGCCATTACTGAAAATTATGAAATTTCCGACCACCTGAAAGTGATCTTAAATCAAGTCAAAAGCCTTATTTCGACCACTTTTGGTATCCGGAAAAACCTTTGTTGCTATTTCCGACCACTTTTTGGTATCAACTTGATTAAAAATCACTTTCAGGTGGTCGGAAATTCCATAATTTCCAGTAGTGAGCTGTTTACAACATTGAAGAATTGATGAGAAAGGGATGCAAGGTGATTCACGGTGTTAATGTTGCTTCCATGGATTCTCATCCGTGTTTGAAACACTTGAGATTTGATCGTATAATTTTAAATTTTCCATTTGCTGTCATGTCAAAAAAATCTCAACATTGTGGAGTTAGTTAAATTCATGATCCCTTAGCTTGTATCATGCATGCATGCTATTAACTTTTGTTTGTGCCCGCAGTCCACACCGCGTCCTGGTAAAGGCATTCCTGAGAGCTGCCAAGGAGATGATTAGTGAAAATGGTGAAATCTATATCACTCAAAGACCAGATGTCATTCTTGGTGAAATGAAAATAGAATGTATTGTGTTTCAACAGTGGCTTGAACTTGTTAGAGTTGTCGATTTCAATGTTTTTGAGTATTGGGGTTATAGCCCTAAATGGGATATAGTTTCTCTTGCATTCAGCAGGGGCTTCAGCTTGTAGATGGTGTTAAGTTTATCGTTAGTGATTATCCAGGTTACGGTAACAAGTATGCGTTTGGGGGTGACAATAGTTTCGACTGCTCTCCTAGTAAAACTTACATGTTCCGACTTCTTCGTACCACATGTCGCATTCCTTGGGGTTGGGTTATATCACACCTATTAAATAAGTGGTGTAAATAGCAATTAGGTTGATCCAAATAGAATTCCCCTAATATAATACACTTGTTCCTAACAATGATTGTTGATAAGATATATACCTCGGGTCCTTGTTCCAACTTATAATCGAGTCAGGATCAAGCGGTTCGGTCGAGGTCAAAGGTGACGGGTTAAACCCGCCACCTCCTTGCGCCTATAAAAGGGCCTTTAGCCCTCCAACTTAAGGGACTTACTCTCTCTCTAGAATACACAAAATGTTCTTCCCTCTTTCTATACAAAATAGAACAAGAACAACATGAATAAAGGGAGGTCCTTGGAGTCAATCTCTCTGGTCAACTATACATTTCATATACACATACATACATATGGTACATTACATTCTACGTACACGAGAATTAGTACTATCATTTTGGCGCCGTTGCAAAAAACTACATATACGTTCCTACCATCATTGAAAAGATTGGGGGCAAGGCAGGTTCGAAAATATTTCTAGAGTAATTAGAAGAATCCAAACCCAGCATTGCTGGCCGGGATTAGAAGGGTTCCGCTACACCATTGTGGTTTTTGTTTTGTTTTCTCTATTTGCTGCTACTTGAGAAACCCAGAAGAAGAGAAGCCATTTTGTTGTTAAGCACCAACCGGACGAAGAAGAAGCAGCCTCTCTGCATGCAGATGTGTTGGGTTGGGGCTTCCCTCCTATGTGGTAAATAGCTCAATTTGGACCAAGCCAATTTTATATTCACTATAATAATTGATATCTTCTTGAGGAAGTGTTTCTGACAATTATTTAATTGTCATGGGATAGAAATTGAGGGGTGGAAGTTTGGAGGAAAGGAGTTGAAGGGATGAAGTTGAGGGGATGAAGTTGAGGGGATGAAGTTTGAAGATAATTTCCCCTCAAATTGCACTCTCCCCCTTTCTCCCCCTTATGTCGGCTACAACATCTATAAAAGGGGGATGTTTTGTTCTCATTTCTTCACCAAAGAAAATAGAGAGAGAAACAGAGCATATTCCACACACTTCTTGGGCAAGAAAGAAAGAAAATAAAATTTGTTTATTCTTCTTTCTTCCTTTTCGGCAGTAGCATCAAGAAAGAAAAGAAAATTAATTCTTCTTCTTCTTTCTTTCTTTCTTCACGGCGTACGCAGAAGGAGCACCATCAATTTCTTCTTCATTTGGGCGTTTATTTGTCGTGGGTTTGCCGATCTCTTGGGTATTATCTTCATCAAATATTTTGAGGTCAGCTTGTATTTATTCCAGGCATCTTTTGGGTAATCTCGTAATTTTGTATTCTGTTCATCTTGCTCGTGGTGGTTGAATATTTTGGGTACGAGATATTATTCCTTTTAGCCTGTGAATTAGAAAATATGTATTTGGCCTACTGTTGGTGTATTTGATGATGTTGGATGTTTGGCTCGTGTGGTAGCCAGGAACTTTGTACCCAAGATTTATTATAGTGGAGTATTGTTGTGGTGGTGGTCCGTGGTTTTTCCCGATTTGGGTTTTCCACGTAAATCGTGTGTCCCTTGTATCTGTTATTTTATTTTGGCTATTTCGTACCATATCGTATATGTGCTCTTGTCGGTTCTGTGATTTTGATTTGTCACAGATAGTGGGATTTTTCCCAACAAAGTGGTATCAGAGCCCTGGTTGTTGATCGGGTATATTTGACATGGAGGTAAATACAATAAATATGGTGCGATTGAACGGTAGAAATTTTCACATCTGGAAGGCCAAGATGAAGGATCTCCTGTTTGTGAAGAAATTACATCTACCAGTGTTTGCAACTGCAAGGCCAGAAAATATGTCAGATGAGGAATGGGACTTTGAGCACCAACAAGTGTGTGGTTATATTCGACAATGGGTCGAAGACAATGTTCTGAATCACATTGTCAATGAGACACATGCCAGGAGCCTATGGGAGAAGCTTGAGACCCTCTATGCTTCCAAAACGGGCAATAACAAGCTGTTCTTGTTGAAGCAGTTGATGAATCTGAGATACAGGGAAGGTACATTGATCAATGATCATGTCAATGATTTTCAGGGTGTCCTTGATCAGTTGTCTAGCATGGGCATCACATTTGAGGATGAGGTACTTGGTCTCTGGTTGCTTAACACTCTACCTGATTCTTGGGAAACATTTCGGGTTTCTTTGACCAACTCTGCTCCCAACGGTGTTGTGACCATGGAGAATGTCAAGAGTGGTATCTTGAATGAAGAGTCAAGAAGAAGATCTCAAGACACCTCCACTTCTCAGTCAGATATTTTGGTTACAGATGATAGGGGGAGAAGCAAGCAAAGGGGTCAGAAGGGTAGATATAAAAGTAGAAGCAAGTCAAGGTCAAGGCACAAGGATCTTGAATGTTATCATTGTGGCAAGAAGGGTCACATCAAGAAAAATTGCTTCAAGTTGAAAAGGGACCAGAAGCAAGACAAGAAAGATGATCACACAGAAAACCAGGTTGCAACGGTTAGAGCAGACTTACTTCTTGCTTGTGATGAGAACGCCGTCAACGTTGCATGCCATGAGACAACTTGGATTGTGGATTCAGGCGCATCTTACCATGTTACACCAAGGAAGGAATTCTTCACTTCATATACTCCAGGCGACTTTGGAGAGCTAAGAATGGGTGATGATGGTCAGGTGAAGGTGATTGGTACCGGTACAGTTTGTCTTGAGACCAGCAATGGCACAAAGCTGGAACTTAAAAATGTAAGGCATGCACCGGGTATCAGACTGAATCTCATTTCTACAGGAAAACTCGATGATGATGGTTTCTGTTGTTTCTTTGGTGATGGACATTGGAAAATCACTAAAGGCTCACTGGTTATTGCACGAGGTAACAAGTCTTCTAACTTGTACTCTTTGCAAAGCTCTATTTCTGGTGATTCAGTGAATGTGGCAGCAAAAGAATGTGCATCAGAATTGTGGCATAAACGACTTGGCCACATGAGTGTGAAGGGGATTGATTACCTTGCCAAGAAGAATAAGCTTTCAGGGATAAAGGAAGCTAGATTGGACAGATGTGTTCATTGCCTGGCGGGGAAACAGAAAAGAGTTTCTTTTATAAGCAATTCTCCTTCGAAGAGGCCGGAGCCACTTGAGTTGATACATTCTGATGTGTGTGGACCAATGAAGGTTAGATCACTTGGAGGTGCATCTTACTTTGTGACCTTCATTGATGATTATTCTAGGAAACTCTGGGTTTACACTTTGAAGCACAAAAGTGACGTGCTTGGTGTGTTTAAAGAGTTTCATGCCCTTGTTGAGAGACAGACAGGGAAGAAATTGAAGTGCATTCGTACTGATAATGGCGGTGAGTACCGTGGCCCATTTGATGAGTATTGCAGAATGCACGGTATTAGACATCATAAAACTCCTCCTAAAACTCCTCAGTTAAATGGCTTAGCGGAAAGGATGAACCGGACAATTATGGAGAGAGTCAGATGTATGCTTGATGATGCAAAGTTGCCTAGTTCTTTTTGGGCTGAGGCAGTTTCCACAGCTGTTCATGTTATCAACATATCTCCCGTTATTGCTTTGAATAATGAAGTTCCTGATAAGGTCTGGTGTGGAAAGGAAGTTTCTTATGATCACCTCAGAGTCTTTGGTTGCAAGGCATTTGTGCATGTTCCAAGAGATGAGAGATCTAAGTTGGACTCGAAGACTAGACAATGCATTTTCATTGGTTATGGTCTTGATGAATTTGGCTACAAGCTGTATGATCCAGTTGAGAAGAAGCTTGTGAGAAGCCGTGATGTAGTGTTCTTTAAAGATCAAACCATTGAAGATGTTGACAAAGTGAGAAAGCCAGAATCTCAAGAAGGCGGAAGTTTGGTTGACTGTGAGCCAATTTCCAGCAGAGATACACATGGTGTTGATGAGGTTCAAGAGAATGGCCAGAATGGTGATCCAGTACCAGACAATCAGGATGTTACAGCTGATGTGGATGGTCATGATGATGTTGTGCACCAGGAACAAGAAGTTCCTTTGCAGATTCCAGTTGATCTTCCTAGAAGGTCTAACAGGGAGCGGAGACCATCTACTCGTTACTCTTCTAGTCAGTATGTGCTCTTGACTGATGGGGGAGAACCGGAGTTCTATGAAGAAGCTATGGAGAGTGAGCAAAAGAGACAATGGCTTGAGGCTATGCAGGATGAGATGAATTCTTTATATACAAATGATACCTTTGAATTGGTGAAGGCACCAAAGAACAGGAAAGCTTTGAAGAACAGGTGGATTTACAGATTGAAACATGAAGAAGGCACTTCAGTTCCACGATTCAAAGCTCGACTGGTGGTGAAAGGTTTTAGCCAGAAGAAAGGTATTGATTTTGATGAAATTTTCTCTCCTGTTGTGAAATTTTCATCCATTAGAGTTATGTTGGCTCTAGCAGCTCGTTTGGATTTAGAAATTGAGCAGATGGATGTGAAGACAGCTTTTCTCCATGGTGATTTGGATGAGGAGATATATATGGAGCAACCTGAGGGTTTCAAAGTCAAAGGGAAAGAGGATTATGTTTGCAGGTTAAAGAAGAGTTTGTATGGATTGAAGCAAGCTCCGAGGCAGTGGTATAAAAAGTTTACTTCCGTTATGAGTAAACATGGGTACAAGAAGACTCCTTCAGACCACTGTGTTTTTGTAAACAGATTCTCTGATGATGACTTTGTCATATTGTTGCTTTATGTTGATGATATGTTGATTGTTGGTCGCAATGTTTCAAGGATTCAACAGTTGAAACAGGAGTTGAGTAAGTCTTTTTCTATGAAGGACTTGGGACCAGCAAAGCAGATTCTTGGGATGAAGATCATCCGTGACAGGCAGAATAAGAAGCTGTGGTTATC